GATTCGGCACCGGACTCAGCAAGTTGATCTGCAATGCTCAAGTCCGTAGGCGAATCACCAGGTTGCGGTATTATGCCAGCCGTAGGTTCTGAGCTATGTGCTTCCATTTCTGCCCCCTTTGGTGATGCGGGACCAGACAGAGTAAGTTGGTCGGTGATACTCAACTCCGTCATCGCATTACCAGGTGATAAAACTGTACAAACTGAGGGTGCTTCAGTGGTGCGCGCAAACTCTGCATCGTTACCTCCACCAACTGGTTGTATCTCGGATGGTCTTGGGTGCACCTCATCATCTGTTGCTGCGTATATAAACTGGACAGGCTCGCTCGAGCGAAGACTTGGTCGCTCGAGCGACCAGAAACAAGAAATCCTCGCTCGAGCAAAGAAAAGCTCTCTCGAGCCAAGAATGCAATGCTACAGGTCCATACTGGACGCAATCTCTCGCTCGAGCGACCAAACCCCAGCTCGAGCGAAGAACCAGAAACAACATCTCGCTCGAGCGACCAACTCCTCGCTCGAGCGAAGAACCAAAATTCTAGACAGCAACACTTGGTTTCTAAACCCAACCAACCTGAAACAAACCTGCCCAACACATCCTATAACTCCAAATAAGAAAATATGGGACAATATGGGACAACAACAACAATTATATAATGACAGAATCTACGGAACCTAAGTCCGGATACAATAATCAAATGGGAAAAGACCGGGGTCGCTATAAGACACAAAGATCTTAACCTTAGCATGCGGAACGGACTCAAGTCGACCATCATTTTACCTTAAAAAAAATTACATATATGGGACCTAATTACAAAGACTTCCAAGTTCAAAGTCTATATAGCATCAACGATATGGGAACCAGTAGAAAAATTGTGTATAAATTAGAGCCTTGAACACTCGTTAGTTATCTATCAAAGGAAAAAAGGAAAAAAGAAAGGCAATGGGACCTTTAGAGAAACCACTTTGCCTTTTTTCCTTAGTCCTGTTTGTTACACTCTTTTCTTCAACCATTAATGTTGCTTCTGCTTCTGCTGAAGAAACTAATGCTCTCCTCACATGCAAAGCCAATCTGCAAAGTGCAAATGATTCCCTGCTAACTTCATGGATCCTTCCACCCCATGATAGTGGCTCAACAAATGTCAGTCCCTGCAATTGGTTTGGAGTTTCTTGCAACCTTGATGGAAGCATCATTAGATTGAACCTCACAAATTCAAGTGTAAATGGTACGCTCGATAACTTTTCATTTTCATTGTTTCCCAATCTTGCATATATCAAGCTTAGCAACAATAAATTCTTTGGTGTCATCCCACCTCTAATTGGTTCCCTCTCCAAACTCATCTATCTTGATTTGTCCACCAACCAGTTCTCAGGAAACATCCCACCAGAAATCGGCCTGTTAACAAATCTTGACACTCTTCACCTAGTCGAAAATCAATTGAATGGCTCAATTCCTCAAGAGATAGGCCAGTTAAAGTCTCTTACTGAGCTTGCTTTGTACACCAATAGTCTTTCTGGACCCATTCCCGCTTCTTTAGGAAATTTGAGAAACTTGGTTCATCTATATCTCTATGATAATGATCTTTCTGGTCCCATCCCTCCCGCAATGGGAAACCTTGTCAATCTTGTCGAGCTTTACATGGATAGCAACAATTTCACAGGCCTCATCCCTTCCACTCTTGGAAACTTGACTAAGCTAACTGCGTTGCACCTGTTCAACAATTACCTATCCGGTTCCATTCCACAAGAGATAGGAAAGTTGAAATCACTCCAGGACCTAAGCTTTGAAACCAACAATCTTAATGGCTCAATTCCAACATCTTTTGGTCATTTGAGCTCCGTAACACTCCTACATCTTTGGAATAATCAACTCTCTGGTTCAATTCCTAAAGAACTAGGAAATTTGAAGTTCCTCAATGATCTGGAATTGAGCGAAAATCAACTCAATGGTCCTATTCCTGCTTCATTAGGCAATTTGTCTATGTTAGAAACTTTTTTCCTTCGTTCCAACCAACTTTCCGGTCCCATTCCACATGAATTAGGCAATTTGAAAAACTTGCTTATACTAGAAATGGATAACAACCAGTTTTCTGGTAATCTCCCAGAGCTTTGCCAAGGTGGTAAACTTACAAACTTCACTGTGAACCACAACCATCTCATAGGCACAATTCCCCAAAGTTTGAAAAACTGTTCAAGCTTAGCCAGAGCTCGCTTTGATGAAAACCAATTCATTGGAAATATATCAGAAGATTTGGGTGCTTATCCAAACCTGGTCTACATGGATTTGAGTTAGAACAATTTTTCTGGTGAATTATCAGAAATTTGGGGAATGTTTCCAAATTTGACACTCCTAAACTTGGCAAGGAACAACATCACCGGTAGCATTCCACCGGGGCTTGGAAATTCAATACAACTACATCAACTTGATCTGTCTTCAAATCGTTTAGTTGGGAAAATTCCGAAGGAATTCGGGAAGTTGACTTCTCTAGAGAAGTTGGTTTTATTTGATAACTAGCTTTCGAGTAGTATACCTCAAGAACTAGAATCACTAACTGGGCTTTCATATCTTAATTTGTCCACAAATAGATTCAATGGGTCAATACCGGATATTCTGGGCAACTATCTTAAGCTGTTTTACTTGAATTTGATCAACAACATGTTCAGCCAGAAAATTCCAATACGGATTGGTAAGTTATTTCAACTGACTGAGATGGATCTAAGTAGTAATAATCTCACAGGGGAAATACCATTGGAAATCACAAATTTGCAGAGTTTGGAGAATTTAAACCTCCCCCACAATAATCTCTACCGTCTCATTCCAAAGGGTTTTGAAAATATGCATGGCTTGGCATTTATTGATATATCATATAATCAGTTACAAGGTCCAATTCCCATGAGCAGTGCCTTCATGAATGCATCAATAGAAGCACTGCAAGGGAACAAAGGTCTATGTGGAAATGTCAAAGGCCTGTAGCCTTGCAAAATTCCTTCTGCATTGCCCAAACACACTCTAGCAAAGAGGACACTTGTTCTTATAATCGTGCTCCCTCTTGGCGGAGCACTTTTACTTCTAGGTGCATTCACCGGACTTCTCATTATCTTCGATCCAAGAAAGAGAAGGTCACAAGTTGAAGAGGGTGACACCCAACCCCCAAATGAAGATCTGTTATCGATATCAATATTTGATGGAAGAGCAATGTACAATGACATTGTGAAAGCTACCAAGGATTTCGATGCCACATATTGTATTGGAAAGGGAGGATATGGAACTGTCTACAAGGCGAAGCTACCATCGGCTAATATAGTAGCTGTGAAGAAACTTCATCCATTTTCCGATAAGGCTGATAGGAAAGGTTTCTTAAATGAGGTAAGGGCATTGACAGAAATTAGGCATCGAAACACAGTGAAGCTTTTCGGGTTCTGTTCGTATGCTCGGCACTCTTTTCTAGTTTATGAGTTCCTCGAAAGGGGTAGCTTGGCTACAATTTTCAGCAGAGATGAAGAAGCTAAAAAGTTGGATTGGCGTATACGGGTCAAAATTATTAAGGGTACTGCAAGCGCTTTGTCATACATGCACCATGATTGCACACCGCCAATTGTTCACCGAGACATTTCTAACAGCAATGTTTTGATTGATGAGGAGTACAAGCCTCGTATTTCAGACTTTGGCGCCGCCAAGCTTTTGAAGCTAGATTCCTCTAACTGGAGTGCACTTGCAGGCACATACGGATATGTTGCACCAGGTAAACACAATTTTATGCTCTCGTAAATTGATGTAGAATCTAAAATGTAAGAAAACAAGTGCTTGATAGTTTGTGTGTGTGTGTGTGTTTTTTTTTTCATTAATTTTTGTTTTTGTTTTTGTTTTTGTGTAGAGCTTGCTTACACAATGAAGGTAACTGAAAAGTGTGACGTTTATAGCTTTGGTGTGTTAGCACTAGAAGTGATCAAAGGAAAGCATCTGGGAGACTTCATCACCTCCTTGGGTATGCAAAATAATCAGAACATACAGCTAAAGGATGTGTTGGACCAACGCCTTTCACCTCCCTCCCCTGAAGTTGAGGAGGTAGTGATGTGTAGTGTAAAATTGGCAATTGCATGTTTGCATGAGAGTCCACAATCTAGACCAACCATGCACATTGTTTCTCAATTGTTATCCACCCGAATGTAGAGCCTCACCTATGTGCACATAATTGTTGCCCATGAAAATGCACAGAATTGATCCCTTTCTATTCTACATATTTTTATGTGCACTAATTTTGTGCACTTGGCAAAACTCGAGCCTTAAAGACAGTGCAAAGCTATTTTGTTTAGTAAGGATATGTTAGATATTAGATAAAACCCAATCCTCTCTATTACCTGTTGAAATATACTTTTCAAATATGGATTTTTATTGTAAGGATAAATACTGAAGAGTGAAAATAAAAAAAAAGAGAGATGTATGCTTGGAGCTTTTGTGTGCCATGTGTGTATGGTAGCAGCCGAACCACACACATATGATGTGGTTTCTCTCTTTATTGTCATCTTATTTATTTAATTTTGTGTTGCTTTTATTTTTATTTTTCTTGAATACAAGCCTACCTTGTAGCACCAAAAATTGTTGGCTTCTTTTATATTGATTTGAAAGAGCAATGTTGCTGGGATGCTTTTTTCTATTGAATAATTATGTATGAATTACTAAAATGGTTCAAATTGGATGTTGGTGGTGATGACTTTGTGGTGGTGATTCTGGGTTTGATGGTGATTTGAGATTTGGTGAATACGGTGGTAATAGGGAGGGAGGTGGTTAGTTGGTCGTGTCAAGAGGGTGGTGGTCTATGAGGGAAGCTAGTAAAAGCGATGGGGAGGGAAAGAAATTAACATGTTACAAACTAACATCATAAATTTCATCTAATGACATTATAACAAATTTGGTTAACTAGACACCAAAATTAAATCTCCAGTAATAGGTGTGGTGTATGGTGATAAACTATATATTTGTGCCTAAGCCTCCAGTATTGTCATATAAATCTAAATCTCTGTTTTTTATTTGTTTGTTTTGTTTCGGATTGTGTATCTAAATCTCTGTCTTTGTAAATGAATTTAACAAATTGTATTTAACATAAATGAAGATTGCAATGAGCTTAACAGCAGAACAGCATTAGCATACACACAAGTATTCTTATATCTCTTCTAAAAGAAATGTTGATATTCTGTCTTATTCCATTTTATAGGGATCTTCAAAATTACAATTGTAAAAATTAATCTTCAAAGCTTTTGACAATAACCCTAAAATTGGAACCAAATGGATTAATTTCAACATGTACGGATTTATCACAAGAATATTGTGTTGTTACCTGCGCGATGACGTGTTGAGATTCTGAAATTCGGTTCCGAATCGTATATTGTTTGCACAGCGCTCATTGGATGTTCATCAAGCATTAGCACTATGTTGAGGAACCTAGGAGAGAAAAGAAAAGAAATGATTACTAAGTTATAAAAGAAAAAGAAAGCAAATGATTGTGTTGATTTCTTCTTCTTGTGTTTGATAAGGCAGAAATAAAAGGAAAAGAAATGAGTTGTTTCTCTCATTCTTATTTGGCTTTGGGTTTCATAGAGAAAAGAAAAGGAATCATTTTCATATTATTTTACCAAATAACCTTTTTATATTTTCAATCATTTTTATTTCTTTTTATTTTGTAGGGCAAATTGGTATTATGAAAATAATGCGTTTCTTTTCTCTCCCAATCTCCCACTCTTGGGAGATTTGAAATGAGGCTTATAAGAGAAAATGACTTTCTCTCAATTTCTCTCAATTATCTTCCTTTCTCTCCACTTTAGTTATCCAAAAAGTAAGAATAAATATCTCTCCATTTCTTCTTTCTCTCCAAAATCCTAATCCAACATAGCGGTAGGTACGAAGAATCAGATGAATTCGATGATGTCGAGTGTTCTCTTCTTCTTAGGCGTAATTAGCATCCCCTACAGTACCCTATTACCATTTTTTAGCTATTTAAGGTGTAAAATTTTAAAAATTCAATGCCCAATTGCCTTTTTAGTGGTGGGTTAAAAGTCATTTTTCGATCAATTTTAATTCATTTACAGTCACATCATCTTTTATTATCTCATAATTTTTCAAAAAAAATAATTAAAAAGTCGACTTATAACCATTTCTTACAACACACGTTCCTAATGTTAAACATTATAACGCCTTTTCCTCTTTATCTCTCTAATTTAATAACTGATGATGTAACAATCTTCACTGTAACGCCCTCAAAACTATAACATTAAACCCATGCAAATAGAATGCATTAGTGTAAAGGTTCCACATTCTTCCATTTATCAGTTCTATTACATAAGTTATTACATGTAACAGAAAAAAGCAATATGCCTAGGAAGGCTTAATCTTTCCAATTAACACTTGTTACAACAAAAGAGTACTAAACTCATACACATTAGCCCTTGGCTGAATTTACATGTATACATCAAAGTAAAAACAAAAGTGGTGCCCGCCTCTAGCTCCCAAGCTACGTCCTTGGACGTGGCATGCTACCTGTACCTGAAAATGATATTCCCAATAATAGGTGAGCCACAGCCGAGATTATATACTAACCAACCATATGAACAAATGACTTAAATCTTCTACGATGGCATGCAACACTGATACATTACATATCAATATTTATGCCACACAACTTATGAGTCCAAGTTACCTTTCATTTCCCTTTTTCAACGCGTAGAGACATATAAACGAACCCACTTTCTAAGGCAGATATGTATCAACACAATATCCACATTCTCAGATAAGCAAATTAAGCTATAATCCTCATTCTCTACAACAGATTGATTCACATAATCCACAGATAGATATACGCTATATCCAACTTCACAAGATAGCATATGGCTCTATCGTTCATTTTCTTAGACAAGCTATGAGCTGATCTACGGAGTTTCGATCGCCCTATTTTTCTCCCAACACTAATCCCGAGTTAGAGGTTTACTCCCCTGATTCCCCTAAACCGCGGAGTCATCCCCATTCCTTTCTACATAACTTATCAAACACATTGTTCTTATATACAATCACTGCATACATTAATTAATGTATGTCTATCAGTCGTCAATTCCATGACACATTCAGCTGATTAGTTTTCGTTTTGCCTATCATATGGCATTGTCTACAACAATTGCACGGGACTATCCTCCACCGATAGCCAAAGCAGTTATTTTATCAGAAATAGACTGCACAATGGTATTCATCACATTTCATTTCTCATTTCTCACAATTTTCTTCCCAAGATAATTAACAATGTAATT